CTCAGTCCATATTGAAGGCTGCAGTCCTTGACCCTCTGCAGTAAGTGCATGAGGTCCTCCTCAGTTTCAGCGAGCAAGGTTGTGTCATCTGCATAAGCCTAATTATACATCCCTTTCAGACGGTCCTTTTTTTCACCTATAATCGTGTAGTATTATGTCTCCACTCTTTTTCTGTTCTCCACCTACTTGACAATCCTATTTTATGACGATGATCTTATGCCTTATTTGTCCTTTTGTGATTGAGGTATTTCAATCAGCATGTCTTCCAGACTTATCCATGTTGTGCAGCGTTTTTCAAGTTCATTGTTTTTCAGTGCTGGGCAATATTCCACTGTGTGAATGCATCACAGTGTTTTAGCCATTCACTTATTGGCAGGCACTTGAGTTGCTTCTATCTCTGTTATTGCAAATAACGCTTCAATAAGCATGAACGTGCATGCATCTGTTGTGTCATGGCACTGATGTCTTTAGGCTATATTTCCAGCAGTGGGATAGGTGGGTCAAATGGTATTTCTTTTTCCAGCATTTTTGAGAAAACAAAAGGCCACCTTCCATAGTGTTTTCCACCTGCGGTCATGAGAGTTCTAATCTTTTCACAACCTTGCAAGCATTTACCATTTGCTGCCTTACTGAACATTCAGCTATTGTTTCTAGGTTTGGAAGCAAAAGTGGCATCCAATTCCTAAACAACATACCTCTGGAAACCACGAACTTTAATAAAAGGCCACAGTTTTAGAAAGGCTTGAAACCTGCCTTTCTTAGGGTCACTATGAGTTCTGCTTATCTTGACAGCAATCAACAGTAACATTGTTTCTAGGGTGATAAGATGATCTGACAGAGTGTGGAAATGATCATCACACACAAGTAAGATCCTGCTGAATATTATCCAAAAATGACTGTAGCAGTACATCCACAGAGAAGTGCCAGATGTCAACCAAGATCTAGAAGAGACTGTATCACTAGGGACAATATGTTGTTGTTGTTGTTGTCATGTGCCGTCGAGTCCTTTGCAACTCATAGCAACCCTATGCACAACAGCCCTAAACCCTGCTCTATCCTGCGCCAACCGCACCGCCTCTGACACACCCATCCCGATTACCGCAGTCACCTAGTCAATCCAACTCATAGAAGGTCTTCCCCTCCTGCGCCGTCCCTCCACCCTCCCAAGCATGATGTCCCTCTCCAAGGACC